CAGCTTTGTTCGTCGTCAAAATTCTCAGATACTGCCTACAACTACTACCAAGATAACAACAGATGGAGATATGTCATGAATCGTGAATCGTTACAGGTCGTTACAAGTCATACATTGGTCGTATAAATGAAAAAAAATGTCATCGTGCATTTGCGCCCTCCGATGCCTTGACAGTCACGTCGTGCCAGAACGCCTCCCACCGTTGTTTCCTTACTAAAACGCTCTCCGTGTCCGCCTCACGATCGCCCGTTGACGTGTCCGGACCGGAAGAAGTGCCATACGCCTGAGCGTGAGCGGCCGCAATCCGGTCCACCGCGCGGATGAGGGATGGTGTCATCGGTACTGCGCCAACGGACGACGCAGGGTTTGTTACGTCCGAGCCGTGCGGCTTCCAACCTGGCGAATTGCGGTCTGTGTGCGTTTGTGCATTGGTCACGTCTTCCTCGTAATCAGAGTAGTCCGGTGCATCGTTCTCTTGGCCTCGTAATACTGCACGCCTTGCGGGGGCGCCTCTCGCATGATCTCCCTTCATTGGGAAAGTATTCCAAGAATCCACGTTGGATCCATTTGTGAGCGTCAAGCTGGAGTGCGTTGAGGTGCGACGCGCTAGTGGTGGTGGTTTGGACAACGGATCGTCCTCGTCATCTGAGCTGAGATCATCGGGATTCACAGCACCGAACTTTACCGCCTCGCGTTTGCGGTAGCCGTGAACCCCAGCATTTCCCAAGCCACGCAATCGAGCCAGAGGGTCCTGAGTTTGCCTTCGTGAGAGATTAGGAGAGTTATCATGTGTAAGGAATGACTGCGTCATTGGCTGGGTTTGATGATGCTCGAATGACAGGTGTGGGGGAGATGTGTACTTGTCATCGGGAGGGAACAAGTATTCAGACACAACGGGTGGCTTTGACCTGTGCATCCATGGGAAAAGTCGATCCCAAAAACTGTACGAAAGTGGCCGGAAAAGGCCCGCACGGTCACGCGATGTAGGAAGGGACGTGGCATAATCAGTGAGGTACGTATCCCATTCCTGTATCAATACAGTTAGGTCGACTTGAATATAGCGGTGCGGAGGCATACAGCACCTCGTCAGGGTTGCCTCCACAATACTTCTTAAGGGCCCAATCCGCTGAACAGCCGGCTATGAGGATGAGCCAATAACCAGCACAAAGGGCTCGTTCTGGCCCGCTGCCCCACCCATTTCCGTCCTTTATCCATAAGCGCTCCCAGACGTTTGACCAGGGTTGGACGTGCGCAAGCAGGGAAATCGACATGATCAGACCAAATGTGCCAGAAGCAGACGCGGCCAGGCGAATTGATTTACGTTGGGTGCGAGCAAACGGTGCCAAAGTCAAGATAAAGAAGACAAGTACCAGGAGTGCGAGGAAGATACGTCGGGTCGAAAGATTGGGATGAATGGTGATGGATAGGGCAAGTGCCAATGACGTTCTGGGAGGGAAGACAAATAAGATAAGATAACCTGTAAAAAAAGTCGGCTAGATTTACCCGCCAGTGACACCGATGAGGGCAAAAGCAACGTATTTGAAAAGACCGGAGAATATAGCAAAAAGAATGGAAGTTAACACCCAGACAGCCGAGAATGACTTTGGACTCAATGGCGCAGAAGTCGTTTCATTGGGAACGACCAATGCCAGGAACGTTGACAAATGGACTGGGATATTCTCAGCCACTTTATGCACAGAGAACAGGTAAACATACGACCAAAAGAGTACCCGATTGCGAGACCACCAAGGCCACCCTGTAAGTAGAAACTAACCTGTCTTGACCGCTTTGTAAGATTGAAAGAGCCGGGTACATGGGGAGGATCGCGACGGGGGCGAAAGGATCGAGTGCGATCAAGAGTGAGGAAGGCACCAGCAAAAGCAAGGAGGGCAGACAAAACTAAAAGAGGGAGAGCATAAGTTAGGCGGTAGGCTGTGGATGGCAAGAGGTCGGTCAGTTCTGTGGAGGTGGCCATCATCAAGAGACGGGCCGGATCGGACACTTGCGAGTTGACTCAAAATGGCACTCATTCGCCGACAGCTTTCCTCCCTCGCGAGACATGCCCGTGGAATTGAACCCCCCCTGCGTGGAATCAGAGTCCTTGACCTGACCCGCATTCTTGCAGGTCCAACGGCAACAATGCTTCTCGCAGATCTAGGGGCAGACGTTATAAAGGTCGAGGAGGTAAAGCTCGGTGACGACACTCGTTGAGTACAATCATCTCATTTCTCCCCACTCGGACTTTCTTACAGACAGATAGGGTCCTGGAGTCCACCTTCTGCTCCATTGTCCGAGAATGCTACCAAAGGCCACATCCCATCTTCCCCCAGAGTCTGCGTACTTTCTCGCGGTGAATAGAAACAAGCGCTCAATCACGGTGAATTTCAAGAAACCAAAGGGCCTGGAAATCCTCCATCAGCTTGTCGCGAAAGCAGACGTATTGGTAGAGAACTTCTTACCCGGGAAATTAGACTCCATGGGACTCGGTTATCCGGATTGTAGCGCTATCAATGATAGGTTGATTTATGCGTCCATCACCGGCATGTTCGTTCCCCTTGCGTCCCTACCTTCCGTTGACATCGGATCTCCTAGGCTATGGACAAACAGGTCCCTATCGAACAGCGGCGGGATATGATGTCGTAATCGAGGGTGAAGCAGGGCTTATGCACATGTAAGTAGAATGCCGATCAGTCCCTCTGAATGGACCGGGTGACCACTGGTTTGCAGAACCGGAGAACCCGACCGTCCACCATCCAAAGTTGGCGTCGCCGTGACCGACATTTCTACTGGGTTATATGCCCATGGCGCCATCATGGCCGCTCTTCTCTCCCGCCAGAAGACGGGAAAGGGTGTCTGGATCGATTGTAACCTATTCGAGTCACAGGTGTGTCACTATCACTACGCACAGAGCATTCATAAACGTCTCACCCTTTGGTATAAGATGGCGGGTCTCGCGAATATTGCGTCCAATTATCTCATCGCAGGAAAGGAAGCTCATAGACATGGCACAGCACATCCCTCAATTGTTCCCTACCAAGTCTTCCCCTGCAAGTATGGTTTTATTATGATTGGAGCCGGCAACGATAGACAGGTATAGCCTGTCCTCTTTGCACCGGTCTCGATGCTGCAAACGCCTTCCTCAGTTCAAACTCCTTGCCGAGAAAGTCCTTCGCCAACCGGAGCTGGCCCATGACCCCAAGTTCAGCACCAACATCGCAAGAGTTGAGAATCGTGAGCTTTTGGTGAAGACCATCACGGAGACGCTCATCCAAGAGCCCCTTGATCACTGGCTTAGTTTATTCAATGGACTCGGGTGAGCGGGCTTTAACTTGGTATCGAATTCAGATTGAACAGTTTCAAGTGTGCCATTTGGCCCCATCAATAACATTCAGCAGACATTTAATCACCCTCAGGCCGTCGCACGGGGTGTGGCTGTAGAAGTCGAGGTAAAGATCACAGTACGTTTCTCATTACGTCCTCTCAGTTTTGTCTCTAGCATCCGCGCGCTGGAAAGATCAAGATGGTAGCTCCGGCGGTCACCTACAACGGGAAAAAGATGCCGGTGAACAGACCTCCGCCATGGCTTTCTCAGCATACCGATGAGGTACGACGACGAAGTATGATCCACTCATATAGATGACATACGTTCGCAAGCAGGTACTGGAGGAGTTGGGATACGATACCGAACACATCTCGCAGCTTCGGAAAGAAGGCGTTGTATGAAGAGATGTACAGCCAGGGCTTCTCATTGAAGAATACATCTGGTTCTTTGTACATCTTGGAAAACGGGAAAATACGTCGCTGGCGCGCCTAATTATGAAACTCCCTCTCAACGTCTTCTATCCACCCACCAATCTTTTCCCAGACATCCTTCGCTGTTTCGCTCCATTCGATCTTCTTAGTCTCCACACATTCATCACATACACCCATCTCGTTCCAGGACAAAGATGCGATACGATCAAGTGTCTCGAGAGGGCGCCCAACACCACCGTCGGCGAGCGCAGGGGTGATGACATCAGTCATCCAATGGTCTGCGATGATGTCCGTGCATGCCATATGCGATGCGGCACAGACAGTGAACAAAACGGGTGTAAAGTCCGTGATAAGCGACGCGAGTAAGCGATGACAAATGTGAAGTGTTCGCGGGGAAAGTGCGGGGTGGGGTGCGCCTTCGCCTGATGCATCATGACTTTCTGGGCCCGACGGATCATACTCGCCCCTTGGGTCAAAGTTGGTTGAAGCAACGCTATAAACCAGTGCCTTCTTGGTCTGTGGGCGGGTAGGTTAGAGAATGTCACCTCATCGTCGATACAAACCAGACGTACCTCCGATTCGACGCCGTACTGTAAAGCAAGTTCTAGCGCCTCTTCTAGATGATCGGCGCGATGTAAGTGTGCGAAGGGTGCAGGGCCTCCGGGAAAAAGAGCGGCAAGATCACGGTTGGCGATTTCGAATAATGAGGTCAAATCGAGTTGCCGAGGAGATGAGACCCGTAGAATACAGGCGAGCTGGGGGAATGAGCTCTGAGTTCTCAAAGGGCTGCATAAACAGGATTAGGACTTAATGAACGGTATGAGGGGCGACTAGCACGAACGTGCTTACGAGTCGTGATACAAGTATGCCAACAGCATCTCGAAATCCCCAATCGTGACGCCCAGCTCGACTGGGACGACTATAATGGGGGTCCCAGCATCGTCGATAGCTTTGGATAGCGCGAGAGCGGCGGGATCTGTAGCGTCTAAAAGCCATGATGCGAACTTTGTCGTATGTCGATCGAGAATCGACTTGTGGATCTTATACACTGACGGCACTAAGCTGACAAGAGCAGAACCGTCATCAAACCAGAACCGATCGCTTCTCCGTGGGGATTGAGACCCGGGGCCGTTCGGAAGGGTAAGTGGCATCCCGCTTGCGAAAAGAATGAAATCATATCATCCGTGAGGTCAATCGTAGGCCAGATTAATCAGCAATATTGGGATTTTTTCAAGATTATATTTATATGCCCCATGGCTGAGTTGGTTACAGCGTCCGACTGTTATCCTTCGGGAAAAGGCGGTATCGGAAGGTCGTGAGTTCGAGCCTCACTGGGGCAGAACTTTTTCGTCTATATACAGGTTCTTGCACCTGCACCACATAACTTACCGTGAATCCACCCGATAGCGGCCGCCTTTCGCCCTGCCCTTTCCAAGACACATGGCCACGAAATGCGAACGTGACGAATCCGGTTCCCCATAGGCGGGAGCCATCGTGAACCCGCTATTACCCATCGGGTAAGCTGAAGGGTTTCTACCGATCCACCCTTACCCTCGTTGTATGCAAGGTTTTCCTGGAAGGAGGGAGATTCCATTTCTTTACAGCAGCCGGTTTCCTGCCTTCCGAATTGACATCAATAGTCCGACTGTATGTAGCCCTGTGGGGCAACCTGCCCTCCGCCTGTGGGTTGTGGCCAACCATTCTGCATCCTCTTGCCTTTCCTATCCATACAGCCCCGATTGCCCGAGGCGCGCTAATAGAGCAACGCCTTGCCGATATATCAAGCTCCGTGAACATGTCACTCCGCTAGCACAAAGCTCCGGACGACCATCCGCCCATTATCGCACGATCGCGGCACCGTACCTTCCAGTGGAAAACGCCATGGTGCCATGGCATCCCACCTTCCGCATCTGTCGAAGTACGTGGGTTAAGGGGGACTTTGTGAGTCACGATTGGAGTCTATTTTTTCTTTCACGGGAGTACGCGGCTGTGCGGGAATGCGGCACGGCTGACTTTGTCGAAAGTTGCGTGTCCTGTCCTATTTTGGTATTCATCCGATCCACGGTTCATGTTCATGTAAAGCACGCATTTTATTTCGAGAGTTGAAATAAAAACATTGATGAGCGCCTTTTTTTCTGACCGTGGGGCTGTTCAACACATGTTCAATTTATTGGTTGCTAGAATCTTCCAACTCCTCTACTCTGGCACACTTCCGTGCCCCCAAAAGCATCTGACTCCGCATGTTCTTCTCCCGGTTTTGCGGCTGGCACTCACTAGAGCGCTGAGAGTTCATGGTGTGGTGTTCTTCACACTGGCACCACCGGCACCTAGTACCCACGTACTGTATCCTAACTTACCCCGAAGACGTGTATTCTTCCCAGGCTCTGGAGCCCCGCGCCGAGAGCCCTTGGTACAACGGCACAACAATCAATGTTTAAATGCCAATGGGTAACTTCCGTGTGATCCATCTAGAATATATGTCGAGGTCCAGGGTTTCTTCTGAGGCCCACCCAATTCCGTGATTTGTCCGAGTCCTCTATTACTAGTAACTCCTATTGAGCAGTTTTTTTTTAAAAGATAAGATTAACCCCTCTAAGTAATAATTACAACAAATCGTTGTTGAATTGACAAATCGTTGACAAAGCCGCCTGCCATCTCGAGACGCGACGGTCATCTCGGGACGGGTTCAATTGCTCCATTGTCCAGTTATCCACCCGTGTCGCCGTTGCGGGGAAGATCGGATGACTGTTCCTGCCGAACCCACTCCCCTCTCAATGTTCCGTCGGACGGAGTTCGTCCCGAGGGATCGTTTTTGTGGCCCCATCAGTGGCTCCAAAAGAAGAAAGGGAGACGTGAATTGCATCCGTTCTGTACCGCGACTGGACGCGGTGCGGTGCGGCGCCAATGACTTGTAATTATAAATATCAAAAACGGTCGCCTTGGGAGCAATTGACGACATGCATACTGTGGTGGGGGGTTTTAGTAATGCGCCTTGATGATCATTGATTTCAAGTTGGGGTTGGGAGGAGGAGGAGCGCATTGCGCAATGGCGTAATGGCATGGCGCTGTTGTCTGTCACTGGCACCAATTGCACCACTGGCATGCATTGCGGTTCGTAAGTGGTGATGCAGGTGATGCGCAGCTCGCTCGGCGCGACACCGTGAAACCCCCGTGGTGCTGATGCATCATCATCATAATCATCAGCGTATCCGCACTGCAAGCGGCAAAGCGCAGCGCAGCGCGGGCGCGTACTGTACTACTGGACGACGAACGTCACGAACCCCACACCGCTTTGCCAAGTCTTTTGAATAATAATAAACATCATCGCATCATCATCAGGTGCGCAGATATTGATATTTCCGGAGTAAGTTACTGTACCTTGTACAGTAATACGGTACGTTATACTGTAATTTTTCTCACAACTTCAACTTCGACTTACTGTACATGTACTGTACAGTAATAAATTGATGGGATGAATTTGATGGATAGCTGGATTGACACACCCACGCACGCTGCGCACTGGCATACGTACACACCACGCGCGCGGTGGCACTCGGGCACGGCTTGGCCGCGTGCGAGTGTGTCAGTCAGTGTGCGCAGCACGTGCGGGTCGAAAATGGAATGGTCGGGCGGGTGTTTTTTACGCCTCGCAGCCTTGCTCGGTCACAAACCCGTTCTTACCGGGGTGTCTTTCCCGTCCTTATTCCAGTCAAAGGGCTCGAAGCTCGCGTCGCCCTGGCCGCAAAGCGAAATTTTTGGGGTGGGGGGTGGGGGGTGTTTGCAACACGCACACACGCACACACGCGCCACGCTTCTGTACAATAGTACCCGAAAACCGTATGTTTAGAAAATGTTCAAAACCCCCATAACCCCATAGTACTACTGCTGCTGGAGTGAACGTGGTCAAAAGAAAAGGGAACTCCTAAGGGACCAGGACCAGCTGACCAGCTGACCACCCTGACCGGAGTGCAGCGAGGCTGTTCCAGGTGGTTTGCTTTTTGGGCATCATCGCCACATACGATGTTCCCCATCCCCCCCTTTTTTCCGATCATTTTGACGCCCGTATGCTCGGCATCGGCAGTCAATCATTGCCAGTCCCCCGCGGGACCTATCTGCGGATGGCTGCGCGTCACACTGCCCCCTTACAGTAGACCAACACCGAAATAGCATCAGATGCCCCTGATCTGAGTCAGAACGGCGCAGCACATGTACTAATCAGCGGAAAAGTACCGTATGTCGGAGCAAGATGGATAAGGGAGAAGGGGCTACGATCGCACCAACATAAACTCGACGTCATCATCACAAAATCACAACTCCCCAGCAATCGACGATACCAAATATAGATCACACTCAATACGGTTTTATTGGTCAGAAAAAATTGCTTTGTTTTTTATTGATGCAACAGCGAAGAGAGGGGTCACATAATGTAACCGTAAACACACCTGTGTAAGTAGAATGAAGTTCTGAAGTAATCGTAAAATAAATGCGTTCATTGGAGAAACGTAATGTCATGAAAAATGTTAGTGGAGAGCTTGTGGATATCGAGGTGTGGAGACAATAACGTCAGCGCACGTAGATCATCGAGGGACAAAGATGACAGCCGAAGGTAGTCATACATGAAGGGGTACGGTGAACGCGAGTCCGGGACTGCATGTATCGAAAACGGAGGACACGATGGCGAGGCGAGGGGGAGAACAGGGCACCTGCACAAATATGGCGGCGAGAAAACGCCGGCCAGCAGTTGCGCCGAGGCGTAGTCCCTGCATCCCGAAAGGATGTTACGGCAGTCGAAAGCCGTGGTTGAAACCATCAAAGACAGTTGACCATGTTGGTTAAAGACGATGATAAGGTGGTATCGGGATCACGCAGTGAGTTTTCGTCTGATCCTCCTCTGTGCGCGGAAGATCGAAAAACGAATGCTAAGTGTGATTGCTTGCCATTGGCGGCGGAACTGCTGGCCACATGTGGGACTGAAAAAGGGAGGCAAAACCATGAGTGAGAATCAAAGGGGGGGCGGAAGGATGAAAGGGATTACTCACGTCCAGTCAGGCGCCTCTTTCCGTATTGTAACAGGAACATACCGCTCCTGCTTGGGTTCTGGGCAGATTGTGTTTGGCTCGTCGACCACGATCTCAGTGGTTTCGTAGTGGGGCGAGTGGCTTCTCGAACGGAGCTTTTGGCGGACGCGGGTCTGACGAACACGCTCATCGATGATCTCCTCGAAAGAGCGGCGGGCGTAGGGTAAAGACTGCTCGTAGGCAGAATAGCGGGCACGGCGACGCTCACGGGGCGAAGCACTGCGGATGCGAGCCTGCTCGTCGAATTCTTCTCCATCAACATCATCGTCCTCACCGCCACGCTCCCACGCTGGGCGGCCGGGGAGAGGGGCTACTACAGGGAAGTAGCGATAGTCGGGGTCGTGGAGATTACCGTCTGTGTCGGCATATACTGAAGTTGGGGAGGAAGATGCAGAGGAAGATAGGTATGAGGGGTCGAGGAGGCGAGAAACATCTGCCGCCTTTGCTTGCTGTCGATGGGACAAGTTACGCTTCGGGTGGGTTGTTGGTGCGAGTGGGAGGCGCATTGGGAGGTCGTATTGGAAAGAGGGGGACATCTTTATCGGACGTTGAAGAAGGCGGGGTCGGGTGTGTGTGGGTGAGGGGGGAGTGGGGTCTGACTTGGGTTCGGAAGTAGATAAACGGGCAGATTTATAGTGGTAGTGGCAGCAGCCATCGGGAGATTCGGGGGCGCCATACTCCCGGGAAGCGATTCCAATCGGGGAAAATATCTCATCCGGCCTTTTCACATCGGCTCTCCTCTTCCCTCTGACTCACTCACACCCCAACTAAGCGCGTTTCCCCCGTTTTCCGAGAGAAGAAAAGAAAAGCGAGACCGCGCTGAAAGACACACCCCGACGCTTCCTCCCACGTTCACCCGTCCACTCCGGCCCTTTGACAACTACCACAACCCTATTCGTTCTAGGCGCCAATCTCCACAACCTTCTAGTGCGCCTCGTTTCTCAGCCATCCCCACAGAGCGCCCCGTACATATCGCACTGCTCTCGCAACTGATTGCACCCCCTTCGCCACATTCGTTTTTTCGGAGATCGGTCGCCCCAAACTCCGAGTACAACTCTTTCATCCCTAACATCATCATTATCCCTCTGCTATGACCAAATAGCTCTATGGGGAAGAAGTTCGCCATAGGCTTGTGCCACCTCGCCCAGGAACCAAATTCGCATCCCCGACGGTCGTCGGCTGTACCCACGGATGATGCGCTTCTCTAACTCGGTTCTTACCTCAGCAACAACCGCCACCAACATTCTCTTAATCATCAACAA